AGTCTCTCTGTTTTTGCATCCAACTAGTAGGGAAATAGCTCTAACTAGATAGCATTGGGTCTGACATTAATGATCAGATGATTGTTTCTACACCATGCCACAAAGCGATTAACCAGCTCTCTGTACTGTGCTTCTTGTCCATTTTCAATGCACCCAATGATTGCAGAGTCATCTGAGTATTTCTGCAGTACTGGATTTCGGATGCAGTAATTTTTTGAAAGATTCTTTAACATTATTTGGTGAAACAAAGCGTTGCACCCTAAACTGAAGAGCGGCAGCAGGAACTATTGACAGCTTCTGCATTGGACTCAAAAGAGTCCAGAAATAAAACACGGAAAAGGTGAGCCATGCCTCACTCGAAGTCTTAATCTCCTGATCAAATAAGAAAGCAGAGTGCAGAGTGAATGAAAAAGGTAAGAGCAGAACAAACAACAGAGAATGCAGACAAATACTGTTCCTTACTTATAAACTTATGAAAGGATTTGAAGGAAATTGTTATCAAAGCTGCACTTTATGCCATTTAAACAATCTCAGTATTTTATTTCATGTTATTTTTTTTTATAAGCATTGCGATCATATACAAAATTATTATCACTCGTACGTTCTTTGGCTCGTACGCTAGATCATGTATAACAAGAAATGAACTGTTGATGTTTTCTGGGTTTTTATGAATTTTGACACATAGACATAGATTTTGGTGATGATTCCATCAACACCATTATTTGACCAGTTTTGAAAAAAGGGGCAATAGAGTGGAAATAATTTATATCAGATAATACTGAATTGAGTTTTTCACTACAAATAGTGTGAAATAACTTTTTTTCCTTGAGATTTTACTTTAAAAACGAGTTACAAACTGAAAACTGAAATGATTAATTAATCTAAAAAATCAAAAGGACAAAAAAAGGAGTTAAAGAAATATTGTTGTTGCTGGTAAGAAAGCCAAAGAACACCTACCATTTGTACAATGGTTCCATAGTCTTTCTCCAGTGACAGATATTTGCATTCAAAGCAATTACATATCCTTCGGATATGTAATTGCTTTGAAAGAACGGAAACTCACAATCACCAGATAGTTGAATTTACCTTATCAAAACTTCCAAAGCACTAAATGATGAAGAAGTAAAACATTTTTAATAATTTAACAAACTCAACTCATAGATTCAGTAAAATGAAGAACTAAAATTTTTCTGGGAATTGTGGTATATTTACAGAAAATAATCAAATGTTCAGTTTTTCAGCAAATTTGATTATTGTATGTGGTTTGAAAATCAATTTACTATCAAATTTCATCTCCTGTGTATTATGAGTGCTGATCTTTACGTATTTACTTTTAAAAGTATTCGTTCTATCAGAGCACCTGCTAGACAAGGCTGAATGCGGGTCTTATCTTACCTGGAGCTACAGAACCTGTTTACAAGCTTTAGATATTTTGGTAAGAGCCTGGACTCTCTTAGACTCAGTGTTATTTCAACAAATGCTTTGGTTTGTGAGAAACTATGTGAGAAACTGTATATTTTCTCTGTGAGATCTCTCCCTGTTATGTAGATAGGGATAACCTGTGTGATTCAGAAATGGCAGGAATATTGACAACAATGTGTTTTTCCTCTCTTGCAATGTTTTTAA